CTGTTTGCTAGATCAACCATCTAATAATAACCACTCCATCTAATAATAACCACTTAATATTCAACGAATGAATATGTGTTGAATTATATGTCCAACGAGCAAAAACAACTATTCTTCAATTATTGCTACCTAAAGTGTTTGAGATTTTACTGAGAAAAAATATTATGAAGTCAATCAAGACTAATTAATTTTAAGCAATTTTAAAGGTCATATCATATGTCACAATATCATAATATATTATTTCCTTAAATAATGATTTTAAATTTTAAACTTTACATTTAATCTAAGTGCATCTTGGATATAATTCTTTTCATTTATTAATTTACTCCATAAACATGTAATGTAACTCGACACATAAATCATTTGAAGTTGATCCTGTAATTAAAATGTCTACATCTAATTATTTGTTGCACTTATGTTTTTTTTTTTTGATATGACCATCTGGTATCCAGAAGCCCATTTGGCCACTGACTAATCCATATTCGAGCAGGGCAGGACCCTATAGGTGGCAAAACTCTCCCTCATAAGTTTTAACGGAGCTGCATTCTCAGGGCTTGAACTCAAAACCTCTGGTTAAGCTGAAAAAGTCCTAGCCAACTTATCCACCCGCTCATGGGTATTTGTTGCACTTATGTATCATATAAAGTTCAATGGCATCACAAACTTGGAAGGAGAAACTAAAAAAATGGAAACTTTTATTTTGGTACAAAAAAAGGTAAGAGACGGATCAAATAATTATGCACCTAATTAACTTACATTCAGGCAAAATGTCTACCAATGACAAAATTTTATGGTACATCTATAAATGTCATTAATTCGTATAATAAAGCACAAATGAGCCAAAAGAAAGAAATTTTGGCAATAATGGAAGGTCCCTTTTTCCTTTAGTAGTATTTGCAAAAGTAGATGATAAGAAAAGTTGGTGTTGTTGTCACTCCCTCAATCATTAATGTTATATTTTTATATTTTAATTAATTATTATATTTTTAAAATAAAATATAAAATTATTTTTTCTTGATCAAAATATTATAGGATTTAAAAGTTCAGAAGAAAGGAGAATTGCACCTTAACAATATGACAAGAGTCACTCAACTCAATAAATCAAGTGTTAAAATATAAAGTTTTAAAAAATACAATATAAATAAAAATGAATTAAAATTAAAAACATAATAATTAATTAATTTAAAAATATACAACAGTAACTATTTTGAGTGGCAATGAGAATCCCGGCCAATCATGAGGCCCTTTTTAATATTTGTTTTTCTATTACTAAAGGCATAAAGAATAACTCTTAACTTTCGAATTGGGTTTTCAGATCCAGTAATTCATTTTTAAATCTTTAATGTTTAGACATAGTTGATTAGGAATTCGATTGACACCAACGCTTCAAAAAAAAAATTCTCTTTCCCCAAATTCCCTAATGTTAAAAAATAAAAAATAAAAAATAAAAAAAACTCTTAGCTTTCAATTTTCTTTACTGAACTAAAAAGGTGGGCAATTTAAAACCCATGGGCTAAGCTCATCTGCATATAGTTTTTTATTGGCATTTGGCAGCACAGATCAGGGCCTCTGAAGTGGGCTTCTCAGACATCCGTTTAACTTGAATTTCTTCTTCTTCTCCCCCACCCTTTTTTTTTTTTTTCGCATTTACAACTTAACTTTTATACATTCTTTTTTCGGAACACAAATTTTATACAATCTTATGGATTAAAAATGGTGGCTTTGACGCAAAATGTATATAAATATATAGAGGTTAGTGTTTATTTATTTTATTTCTTAAAGGTCAAGAAGAAAATTATATCAACATTACATCGTTTTTAATAAAGTATTATAAAAAATAATAAAAAATATTATATTT